GCAGTTAGCAGAGTTGAGGCGGAGAGCAGCTGGAAGACATCAAAAGGAAAACCAGAGCGTATTTTCTTCATAAAATATGATCATATTTGATCACCCATCTGATGAAGTTGCGCTTTTGTACAGTAATCAATGCAGCCTGGCCCTCTGCGCTGATAGAAAGATAGAAATGCTGTTGCTAGCTAGCTAACTAATGAATCCTCACTCCCACTAAAAGTTGAAGATTGATTAATAAGTGAATGTCATGATATTATTGGGGGAAATTGGTTGGACCAAGTATGTATCAAAATAAAATTACAAAGAAATGTTTTGTAAATTTGTAAATTTTTTGGCATCCATTGTTGTGGGGAAGAGTTAAAAAGAAATTTTTCATTTCACCTGGACTTTAACAAAGGCAAAAGTAGCATGATGTTAAAAACATAAAACTTAGCTTTTGCAGAGAACCAATTGAATACACTGCAGAGTACTGTGTAACACTGGATGGGGCAGTCCACATACTTTTGGCCATACAGTTTGAATGTGACAGTGTGTAAACTAGGCTGTGAATGTGTTGACTTGTCATCGCACACTGAGGGATATGAATAGTCATGCTGCGGATGGGTTTAGTGACTGTACTTTATTTTATCGCCTTGTGCTGTTGCACCTTAAGGAATCATCATGTTGGGCCAATGAAGCAGCCACTAAATTAATTAAACTGAGACTCAGAGAGAGATGATAATGAGACATGATGATAAGAAGCTCTTAAAAGGAGGAAAGAGAGAGAGAGAGAGAGAGGGTGTTCCAGGATGTAGAGAAAGGAGATACTCAGGAGACAGAATAGAAATATACAAAGAGAGTGTAATGCAATTGTTAAAGCCATGCAGACTCTGCTCTATCCTGAGTTGTATGTTCATGTTGAACATCTAGCTTGACTTATCAGCAAAAAAAATTTAAGCCATGTTGACTGCATGCCCGTATTACGACGGAGTATTAGGGCCATACTAAGAGAAATTTTATAAAAATAATTAATAAATAACTTTTTAGCTAATCAAATTTTCCGAAACCTCCTGACAGTAGTACACAGCTTCCTCTGGCTCCTCCTAGTGCTCCAAATGGTATTTGCAAGAATCCACTGGGCCTGAATGAAAACAACCAATTAGCCTGGAGTGGTGGACTACTGATAGGCCCGCTTTATAGGGGTATGACAGAGTATTAGGGCCAGACTAAGAGAAAAAAAAATTGGGGGGGGGGTTACGAGAATAAAGTCATAATTTTACGAGAATAAAGTCATAATATTAGGTCTACGAGAATAAAGTCGTAATATTACGACTTTAATCTCGTAATATTACCAGAAGAAAGTCGTAATATTACCAGAATAAAGTCATAATATTACCAGATTAAAGTCGGAATATTACGAGAATAAAGAATTCAAACTAAGGCTAACGTTAACGGTACCGTCTTTTAGTATGACCCACTCAAATTAGGCTGCTAGCAGTCACCATTTCTGTCTCTTGTCTCTCTCTTAGGCAAGGGAACACCGGAGCCATTCAGATGAAAACAGCAGACCAGGTAAACAAAGACTGTCAGGAACTAACATTATCTGCAGTTCCAGGTTTTTGAGACTTACTTTTTAGCATGTTTGTTTGTATGTTTGTTGGCAAATGGTAGCTAAGCAAGATGCATGTTCACAGGACAAACGAGTTAATAAAATCAATATTTTACGTTGTCATACATCGAAATAAATTGAATTAATGACAGTATGCACCTTGAGCTACATGGCAACTGCTCATAAGTGCCAAAAGAAGAGGAACATAGGAGGAATAGGTATGCATCAAATGAAATATACTGCACATTTTATTAGCAATATTTTCCAGATCATTCAAAATGGGTCTGTATTCAGTAGGCAGTAGGTTAGATATGTATAGTATAAACCTACTGAAAGTGCCATTTTGTTTACATACTGCATACTACATACTTATAGTTTGGTCAAAAATACTGTACTGATAATGTTACAGCTTTAAGTCAACAATGTTACCAATGCAAGGTGTGGACATTTTTGGGAAGGCATAGATTATATTGCTTTACACAGCAGCTCCATACTGTTTTACTCAGTCAAACACAGCAATTGCAAAAGCCTGTGCTAATTCTGAACATCCGATGAAAAACAATTTTTCTTTCCTATGTAACTTTCTTTTTGCTGCATCTTTAAAAACACATAAACGCACCTCAAAGTACGGCTGGACAATTAATCGAATCTCATTTTTAATTAAAATTATGAAAACTAATAATTGAGATAAAACAATTAATGCGCCGCATTCCATTTCACAATGACGCTCTAGTTTTGTCTTGTGTACCACTTCTTTAACAAAACTAGGAGGTGGTCTGGTGTTGATTTAAGACCCCTTTGTCTTCATTTGTCATGAAATAATCAAAAAATAATGTTTCATTTCTCTCATTCACCAGCTTTGCTCTTGCCTTTTTGTATTTCAATGAAACTCACCGGTAAAAAGACAATTTTCTTAAAAAGTTCAATAAATGCATGATGTTTCCAAAGTCAATGATTAATCGTGTTAAATAATCATGATTTTAATATTGAGATCATTTTTGGTGCACAGCAAACAGTAAATGATGACTCCCTCAGTGACACACTGATCTATCAACCTGATGAATTACCTCAAAGTCCTCTTAATATTTTGCCTGAAACAATTTTGGTCTTGCACCACTCAAACAGCTTCAGTGAAATGATAGAGGTATTTTCTGACCCTGAGATCTTGAACAAAACACTGAAAGTCAGACGTCTACTTCCTGACAACTCAGTAGAGAAGGTCTGGTGTAATCAGAGATGTCTACAGTAGCTTCTGGGCAGAGTTTTATGAACGTTGTACCCTTGGAACAACTTTGAAAGTGCTCTTTCTTAGGCATGATTTCTGTGCTGCTACATAGAAAGCAATCGGGAGAATTCTTCTGAAAGGATTTCAAGATTGCCAGTATTTGTCAATCAAACGTGCCCCTCCTTTTCTTGAGGATGAGGAGGCTTTATGGGGCAGTGCACAGTGACCTGAAGACAAGCTTTCTTTAGTTTGTGAGCTCACAAGAACAAGATGTCCTCAGGCATGCATTGAATGATTTTAGCTCTATTGATGATGATGACCTTCTTGAAGTGCTTGACAGATATGAATGTAGGAAGAGGGTCACTGCTGCTACTCTCCCAGAAATCTTGGATGAAATATCTCACAAGGAACTTGTGCAGAAACCAATGTTTGTCATCGACTGCTGGAGGGAGATCACACAGCCACAGATTCATCTCAACTCTGGGGAACTGACCAAAATGTACAGTGACCTCAAACCCACCCCAAAGAAAGTAGCAGGAATATTAAACTTTCCTACAGGGATGACATCCAAGCAGGCAGAGGTGGCACAGCACCTGAAAAGATAC